TTAGGGCTGTGAATCTTTGAGTAGTCAGCGAATCAATTCGATTCATGATTCATAGGTTTTCGATTTGATTCAAGAATGATTTTTGCAAATTCAGAACGATTCAATTCGATTCGATTCGATTCACAATTAAATTTGATACGATTAATGATTCGATTCTGCATTCTTTAAGTGCATTCACAGGATTATTTAAATGCTTAGTCAGGAGGCAAATTATACAGCAGCCTTTATGGTTACAGAACCTTAGGTTAGATAAAAAACAAGTGTTGTCCATTGTTAGATGCTAGTTTAATGATGATATGGCATGATATGGCATATGTAGAAATTTATGTAAGCCAAGATTTAAAAAAAGAGCTTTAAAAGTATTATGTATAGGTTAACATTTTGTCACATCAGGGGCGTAGCCATCATTTCAGAAGTGACAGAAATGTCAAATACAATAATTTTATGTAGGCCTATGAATGTATTATTATATACTGTATATGAATGTATTAATATTTTTTCCTAATGGCAATTTTATGATTGTTTTATATAGTACAAACAATTATTTAAATTTTCTGCACATAATAAGGTAGAAAATATACTTTATACTTACTGTACTGTAATAAATGATGTCAATTAGCACTGCATAATTCATAAATTGTATTTATTTATTGTGTTTATTGTCTTAATGTTTCAGTTCATTCTGCTTTTTATTCAGTTTAGCTGCAGATCTAGCCTGGCATCACTTCTCTTTCAGTGCAAAACTTCTTTATCTCATTTTCATAAAATAATGTATTTAACTTTTCCTTTCCATCGGCGAATGATGATCCTGAAAGAAAACACGGTGTCTGTTTGCTTTAGCAACGAACGCTACTTTCATGCATCATTACCTGACAGCTCAGGTAATGTCGTCAGTATGACCGAGAGCCATTGAAAAACTACAGAAAAGCAAAACTACTTAACTTTAGCATTACTGGTACTGGCCACGATTACTAAGTAGAGATCACACATCAGCTGCGTCAGTGAGACGAACTGAGCGCGAGCGCAATCCTGTGACAGTCACTGCAGGCGGTAAATAGTGCAGCTCGTGAAGGAGAGATGCGAGGCACGAACACTGTTCAAGGTCTTTTATGAAGGTGCAACACTTGAGTAATACGGGTAAGGTTGGTGAGTGTGATTTGACCAAGTACAACA